ATATTGGATTTAATGAAAATTTAAATTTAATATTGTAAATAGTGTACTGTATATCCTTCACAGTAAAGGAAACAAAATTTTCGTCGGGCATAGCTCTATGTTTTATTTTAATCATTTTATTGATTAATTTTAACATTCTTAAATACCTTTCATCATTTATGTTTTTCTAGAAATATAACTGTTATATGGGCTGTAATTCGTTATCTATATCTGTGATCAGGGCTAGTTTCAGGGCCGTGCCGTGCTATGATGCAGAGATGCGGCCGCATCAGGCGGCACCGTGAGGGAACGGCATAAAAAACATTTAAGGGGTAGAATTTCAAAGACTTGCATCATACTTAGAAAATCTACCGCACGGCCCTGGCTAGTTTTACCATTAGGCGAACCTAGACGGCCGCCTAGGGACGTCAGCCTTACTCATGAACAAAAAAAATACATCATTAAGTAGTGTTAATTAATAAAAAACTTTTTAATGTTACTGTAAAGTTACAAATTCACAACTTTTCCATATCTTCTTCAGTTCGTTGAGGCACTTCCAACGATCGGTAATATGTTATAACCACAAAAAAACAAACAATCTGAAAATTATATATAAAATATCAAATAGTCATATCTTTATATTATTAAATTAATAAAATTAGTACATTTATAAATGTAAAAATGTATATGTTACGTGCGTTGCAACAACTTACATGTAATCCTAGCATAGCCAGAAGTATAGCTGCACAAACAAGAAGGAGCTGCAATAATATTATAGTAAAATTATCTAATCAGAAATTTAAAATTTTATATTTAATCCTAGAAATAATAAGATAAATTTTCCATTAATAAGAAAAGCTAACACGGACTTCCTAGACAGTTTCCTTTTTAAATATAAATATTAGGTGGGATGGACCTCTCCCGTACCTCGACAAACTAAAGATCCACGGGGATAATTGCAGTTACTTTAACTAAGTTCAGCGACCATCACACAATGCAGAATCCTAAGCGGATAGCCCCCTCATACTCACTTGAGGTCCATCAGTGGCCAAGCGATTCCGAACACTGGGAGTTCGGTGTTGGTTCGAGCTTCGCCAGGACGGGCTGGCCACGTGGAATTTTCTGAGTTTCTCCACGTCTGTAACGCCTGAATAGGGGTCAGTTAAACCAAAAAAGACCTCCCGGAAGGCATTACCCTAGGCCAGGGGTCGGCAACCTTTTGAGTCGGAAGAGCCAAAATTACAATTTACAAAATTTCAAAGTTNATCTGTGATCAGGGCTAGTTTCAGGGCCGTGCCGTGCTATGATGCAGAGATGCGGCCGCATCAGGCGGCACCGTGAGGGAACGGCATAAAAAACATTTAAGGGGTAGAATTTCAAAGACTTGCATCATACTTAGAAAATCTACCGCACGGCCCTGGCTAGTTTTACCATTAGGCGAACCTAGACGGCCGCCTAGGGACGTCAGCCTTACTCATGAACAAAAAAAATACATCATTAAGTAGTGTTAATTAATAAAAAACTTTTTAATGTTACTGTAAAGTTACAAATTCACAACTTTTCCATTTCTTCTTCAGTTCGTTGAGGCACTTCCAATGATCGATAATATGTTATTACCACAAGGAAACAAACAATCTGAAAATTATATATAAAATATCAAATACTGTATTCATATCTTTATATTATTAAATTAATAAAATTAGTACATTTATTTGTGAATAACTTTTATAAATGTAAAAATGTATATGTTACGTGCGTTGCAACAACTTACATGTAATCCTAGCGTAGCCAGAAGTACAGCCGCACAAGCAAGAAGGAGCTGCAATATATATTGTAGTAAAATTATCTAATCAGAAATTTAAAATTTTATATTTAATCCTAGAAATAATAAGATAAATTTTCCATTAATAAGAAAAGCTAACACGGACTTCCTAGACAGTTTCCTTTTTAAATATAAATATTAGGTGGAATGACCTCTCCCGTATTTCGACAAACTAAAGATCCACAGGGATAATTGCAGTCACTTCAACTAAGTTCAGAGACCTTCACACAATGCAGAATCCCAAGCGGGTAACCCCTCATACTCGATTGAAGTCCATCAGTGACCAAACGGTTCTGTTCTGAACACTGGGAGTTCGGTGTGGGTTCGAGCATCGCCAAGATGGGCTGGCGACGTGGAGTTTTCCGAGTTTTTCCACGTCTGTAACGCTTGAATAGGACCAGTTACCTTTAAAAAGACCTTACGGAAGGCATTCCCCTAGGCAGATCACCCAAGTGTTGCGTCACAATGCAAAATCCACCTCATCCTCAGTTGAAGTGTCCGGATCAACAGAACTCGCGGAAAATTCAGACAATCGTAGCCCGGACTCGATTTAGGACCCCTCCAAGTGGCAAGTTCCTGATCCAAACTGAAACTTTCCCGCTCTCGGAGGGAGATCGAGTTTGGATCGGGAGCTTCGGGAACATTTCTTCGGTGGTCTGTTCTGGATATATCAGACCCCGGCTGTTATCCGTCAACCATTTTGATTTTGGGCCTGATCAAACCCATATATAGATCAATTTTTTTGTCCCGATGGTCGTAGAAAAAACACAGCATCTTATCTTAGTATCCACAGAAAAAAAAATGTTAAAAGCCAAACAAAAAAGCAAGTTGACCATCTTTTGCTTCAGTCATCAAAACTGAATTTAATTTACTAGTCATTACATTTTAAAATTTTAAGTTTTAAAATAATAATTTTTATAAGTTTATTTGAGTATTAAAGGAGAGTATCAACTTTTCCATTATTGTCACTTTTCTATTAAATAATAAATAAAAGTTTTTAAAATTCAAAGTAAATCTTAAACATAACAATTAAGAATTAAAATTCTCACCGAAATCTCTCCAGACAACATATCCAATACAAAAAAGCCAATAATTGCGGCAAGTTGAGAGAGCATTAAAATCATCAACCAAATCATCCATGGTATTAAGGCCAAACGTTTTTTCTAGAAAATTATTAAAATAGTTTAAAGTTTATATTATTTTTACTTTACTTTGAAATATTCCACTTACCTTAATCACGGCATACACCAGAAGCAAACTGAATGGAAGGAATATTAAACAGAATGTTAAAGATGAAGCGTACACCGCAATAACTAAAATCATAACAATTATCTGTTTACTATTTCATTTACATGAAATTAAAATTCTCGATGACTTAAAATGAAGAAAGTAAACTACTGTATATTATAAATAGTAATATATTTTATTTAAAAACACTTACAAAAATATTTTGAAGACGGATGAAATTCGGAGATAGACCAAATGGCAATGACAGTAATTAAACCGATTGCAGACACAACCTATAATAAATATATATGCATACAGTACTTAATATATATATAGAGAGAGAAAACAGCAATAAATTTTATTTAAAAACACTTACAAAAATATTTTGAAGACGAATGAAATTCGGAGATAGACCAAATGGCTATGACAGCAATTAAACCGATTGCAGACACAACCTATAATAAATGCATATATATATGCATACAGTACTTTATATATAGGCCTATATAAAACAGCAAGAGAAGTAAAAACTAAAAAAAATGATCCATCCCAGATTTTTACATTTTTGGACTCAGGGGACCTCGAAACGTCGAGAAATGCAAAAATATTTGAAAGTTTTTTCTGTATGTATGGCTGTTAATATGTGTGACACGATTTTGTTCACCCTCTTTGAAGCTTAACTCCTGTGCCTTTTGTCGAAAATTTCAGAAATTTTGCAGGAGGGATGGGGAGATAAAGGGGATAGTGTCATATCTCGAATAGGGTGGGACTTAATGACGATTTTCCTCGTTATTGGCATTTACAATTTTTTATAAAACCCATTCCTACCTGAAAACGAGCAATTATTTTACTTTGATGTCGTCACAATACCGGGCTGCAATTTTTAATCATATTAATTTATTTATTTAATCTAGAATATATGTTCTCTACCTCAATTTAGTTTTGTAGTGCCCATGTGCCATGTACAGTATATCATACTTTCCCTTTAACAATAGAGTCGTGCCGAACATCTAACACCTTACAGGTGAAAATTTTTGAATTGAAATAACATGACTTCCGGTTTGCATCAGAAGTTCTTATGTAGTTAAATTCGTAATTAAATCACAAGGTACTGTACATCAAATTTTTAATCAGTAGTACGAGTCTGCATTTTTTGTAAAATTAAAGTATACCTAATTTATTAAAAATTTTTTTTCATGTTTTATTCAAAGACAGTTAAATCGAGAGTCACGGAAGTGACTCTGCGCCTAGTGAAAAAGTCACTGACTATACATTTAGGAATCAGAGTTGCCGATTTTCGGAGGTCAATTTCTCCGCTCCCAAACGCGTATAGTAAGTCTAAATATCTCGTTCGAAATAGAATTGTTTTCTTAAGTAGTGTGCAAAAATTTCAGATTTTTCTATAAAGGGGTTGACAAAATATAAGCAATTGAAAAGTGCAAAATTGCCAAAAAACCTGTATTTCCTTCTCTTCTTCAACCGGCGCTGCAGACGCTCCAAGGGGGAAACTACCGGGTCTAGAGTGCGCAAATTTTTAAACTTAAGCTTTGATTGTTATCAGTGAAGTTCTGGCGAAACTTTAGGGTCGATAGGTCAAATTTTACGAGGGTTCTCCATAAAGCTATTTTACTTTTATCGCTTAATTTTACACTTGTCGGGAAAAAATATTGGCTAGAAACTTGATTGAATGACTTTATTCAAAATGTTATCCACAATAATAAAAGCTCAAATTTATGCACATTAACATGAGAAATTTCACCAGAGCATATTTTTAAATGAATGCAAATTTTCTTAAAGAAAAATGTTTTTATGTTTACTACTTAACACGATTAAAAATTATTACTATTACATGTTATAGTATTAATTCTTTTATTACTAAGCTATTTATTTTATATTAGGAGTAATATAAACTATTTTATCCTGTAGTTCATAATTAGATGTAAGAGATTTATATCGTTTTTCTGACATCCAAAAAAGACTATTTAAAAAAATTTTTTTATTGAATTAGAATAGTATTTAACACAAAAAATAATAACGGAAAAAACAAGAAAATAACTGAAAAAATAATACAAATACAATAAAAAACAAAGTCCAATCTAGTAATAGAAAATAATAAATAAAAATAAATGTACTAGTTAATACTTTAAATACACATTGTAGTAATTGATGAAAGAAGTAACTATAAACTAAGGCAAAACTACGAGTTACTTCTATTACTATGTTTTTTATTATATTTGTATTATTTTTTTCAGTTATTTTCTTGTTTTTTCCGTTATTTTTTATATTTAAATTTATGTACAGTATTCTATTGAACGGAACGTCAATGTTCTTTTTCTATCGTTAAGCATGAGGATGTCCTATAGAGTAGGCCGAAAACGTTAGTTTCTCAATAAAACTATCTCGGCAAAACAAAGTGTAGTCTGATAAGTTAATTATTTGCTGAGCACGTTCTGTTTAATATTACATGCTTGATTTACAATGATTAATACTTTGATTTATTTAAATTAACTTCAAATAAATTTCAAATGTCTTTGAAAAATAACGATGATAAAAGGAATTTCACTCATTAAATCAGAAAGTGAAGTTTAATTTTTACTGTTTAAATAAATAAAAACGATATAAAATATACATGCTTATAAAGTTTAGTAATATTAATTAAAATATATAAAAAGTGATTGTCTAAATAAATTTAAATTTAATATAATAATAATTCAATAATTACTTACAGTTGTATAAATTCCCGATGCTAGCGAAGCATCTTTACTGTTTTTAAAGCAGAAGCATCGGTGCAGTTGACATTGATACTTCATTTTTAAGTTTTCTAAAAATACAATTTATATTTAAACTTCTCAATGTTCGATAGCACCTCCCGACGATCTAAAATAAACTGAATTCATTAATTTAAGAATACATTTGATGAAGGATGTTGAAAAATATCATCATCGGATATTCCACGTATTAAAATTGCGCAAGTTATTTTCGATAGAGTTTCACTAACCCACGCAGAAACTGGAGAAGGTAAACCCACACAAAATTCAGTTAGCGTTCTCCAGTTCTATGTGGATTCGTGTACTAAAGTAAGTTTGCGTATATGTTATGAACCAACTGATTAATATGGACATCATCCACAATGGCCGTGCATTATAAATAATGACGAGCGAAATAGAGCACTGTGATAATTTCACGTTCTTTAGCATAAAGTTATCACACTAGTAAGTCAATATGAATGAAGTATTCATATTGACTTATTGGAAAACGTGGTGATAATGATATCTTGAGGAGTGATCCATCTGGCAAAATTAGTTTAATTAAAACAGTTAATAATACTTTTAAAAAATAATCCAGTTTTTAAGTG